GCGTTCCTCGCATCACGAGCTCTCGGGCTCATCGTTTTCTTGCCGCGCGTGCAGCTTTCGAAATATCGTGGCGCTCCGCTCTACGGTTCGGTGCCTATCAATCACTTGACGCATGGTCCGACAATAAGACTCCTCGAAAGAGAGAGCTATTATCCTGCCAGACTCTGGTGATGCACGACCTCCGGGCCTCGATGCTGGACCTCAAGTCCTCGCCAGACGACTGTGAGCTGCACGAAAATTTCACAACGTTTTGCGAAATGGCAAGTGCGAAACTTTGATGCGATCGCAATATAATAGAATTTCACGTGTTACGTTTGGACATAAATTTTGGTGCCAGGTACACTAATACAATTTTATTGTATATTTAATTTTTAAAGCATTTTTTAATATAAAAATTAGATTTTTAAAGAATTAATTAATTTGAAAAATTTTAAAAAGTTTGTAATTTTTTCAAGAATCTGTAGAAGATGTCTTCTGTTACGTAAATATATATATACATGGTAGAGAAATATATGTATATTTATTTAATTATTCTATATTTTTATAAAAATGTTTCTGAGTTGTTTAATTACAAAATCGATGTTACGTAGTACATCGTGGAAGACTCCTTAAAATGAATGGAGTAATATTAGTAAGAAGTACACGTTGGAGCCAGGGGAAGAGAATTATGATGGGCTCTCAGGAAGCCTTACGTTCGTATTAAATCTCAGGCAAGTACGACGGCATAATGAAAAATCCGACAGTAGACATAAGTCAGGGCCGTCGCGAGGAAGAGCGATCGGGCTTGTTCTCCTCGTGAATATTCATCGATCTCCGCCGCGTCGTACAATGGCAGGGCTGAGAGCGGCGAGGAGAGAACGAGATTCCGCACTATTAGTGCGGAAAGAACGTCCGCAACGATAAGATATTCTCCGTTAGTATAACATGTCCCGATCCTCTCATGAAACATGTTAGAGAGTCTTCGATTAACCCTTCGTATATGCATTATTTCTTCACAAAAATGTCTTCGTTTATCATTATTATTTATTATTATTTAAATTTTGCCTATCGACTTCTGCGTATGTGTTAAAATTATGCTAACTGTAAACTTTAAAATATGCAAAATAATTAATCATCTATTGCATACAATTCACATTGTGGTTTTTGCTCTGTTAACTTTATACAACGTAAATATATATTATTAAATACGGTATATATTTTATTATTTTATTTTTAATATATGCTTAAATGTTAAAGAAAACCAACTATTTTAATCTGAATGTGTCAATATTTAAAAAAAATCGTACAAATATATTTTTTGTGGAGTAGAATTAAGTTCTTCGGAAATTTCTCAAGTTCTATACTTGAAGCAATAGCGGGATTCAAGGCGATTCTTGAAGAATCGCGTGACAAGTTAGCATCCGCGTATCCTCGAGGGAGGAAAACTCGCCATACTCGTATGTTGGTGAACACGTAACCGAAGGCGCATACAAGACGATCTATCGTTGCGTACGGGAACGCATGCTACGTACTCGCCGACGGCGCGAATCGTCACGAATGCAAGTACAACGAAGACTAGAAACCAACCACGGGGAATTTTACGAATCACGCGACACACGTCGTTCCCGAGGTTAACTTCCTCCCATGCCCACGTTTCATTAATCATTTCATTAATCCCATCAAAAATTCGTAGAAACTTGCCGCATCGCGGCGGAAATTGCCTACCAATTATTCATTATCATGATGGTATTTTATTGCGTTCTTTGAAGGAGTATGGCATGTACTAAGCGCGGCTTCTCTGCACGATTAAATACACAAGCGTGCATCTTCAATTTCTAATAGAATTTTTATTGAATATAAATTCTACTTTAACAATTTTGCTCTAAAAATATCGAATTATCGATATTTTACTACGTTAATTAAAGAATAGAAGTGTCAAATCAAATATGCATCGTACGTATATTTGGAAAACAATGAGCCTCGTCGAGGAGGAGTGACTAAAAGGCTTTACATCGAGCGGTTTTATTGCGCGTTTCTCGTTCACTCTTAGATTTACTCGCGGGGGTATAGTTTTCTTCGAAATGACATGCAAATGCAATAGGCATTCAAGGCGAGTCTGGTTTTTCAGGGCGTTACCCTCAGAAATTCTGGTCGGTTGGTTGGTCGATGCAGAACGTCGAGGGCGGTGCATCTGTCGGCGGAAGATTTATATCCCGAGGCCGAGGTTGCTTCTACCCATTCCCGACTCGCGGCCGTGCTGGGCACGCCGGCAAAAAGCGTAGTTTCGTTTCGAAATTCGCGAATTGACATCACCTTTGAAAAAGTCGTTTCTTACACGGATTAAAGTGTCCCAACTTGATTTACTCGCGTATCGTTGTATATAATTATCTAAGATCAGCACTAGTTAAATTATGGAATAAAGTTGGAAATATGAATCGAATGAAATCATGTTTGCTCGTATATGCAGAACGTATGCGCAAGAATGTTCTCAGCGATTTAACGGAAATCTATATAAGTACATCTATTAGCGAATTGGAGCACGGTCTTCGTTCATTAGCGATCCCAGGAAAGTAATCAACTAGCACTTAATTAATTATATATTTACTGCTATCGTTTTGCGGCACGCGACACATAGCGCTTATATTTTAATACTTTGTGGATTGATCATGATAAAGATTTAAATACAGATACGGTACTGTAGAATTAAATACCGTCGATATTAATACGTAATTCTTATACTAAACGGTACACATAAAATAATAAATGCGAATACATGTGTACATCAATTGTGTAAAATAAATTATTAATCTATTCTTCTTACTTAAAAACAAGCGTTTTGTACATCGTATAACTTGACCTCAGATAAGACAAGATGTATAAATTTAACGTACCAAAAAAATGTGCAATTAAAGAATACCTTACGCGCGTGCAATATTCACAGGAAATAATAATTATGATTCGAGAAGGAGTTGAAATCCAATGAACCCGCTGATCCTTTCTGCGGTATACGAACACGAACCGTGGCATTAACATTACCACGGCGCGTTTCAAAATGGAGGATTCCGGCACGGCGAGAAAACGATGCGATGTGCGCGGCGCGATTATAACTCGGCCGCGAGGGCCGTCGGGTCTATCAAAACCCGCTCGGCCATACATCAATGCCATCTATACGTATAATTTCGATGTCGACTGGCTCGTGGTTTTATTTTGCCACGCGTAAAAGCGAAGGCGTACGCGCTGCAATGCGAGATTTGATGTTAGGCAGACGTGGAGCGCTGCACTTTGTTCCATTCTTTTATATACATCGATCCTGCAGTCGGCTCTCGAGGAGTCCGGCACGCGGCGGTAGAGGTGATGGAATAGGCATACCGAAGGAAGCCATTTTGTAACTCGCGTTATTATTATTGTCCAATACATCAACTTGTAACATGCGAAATATGTAGAGAAAGAAAACTGATGATCACATTGATTATCTGTCTAAATTATCTAAGCTCTAACTTCTATGTGAGAAGCACGATTGTGTATTTACATTACATTTCATAATAGGTATACACACATAGTATAATTCATATACAGACATCGCGACATTTTATTTGTAAGTCCAATGACCGTCGTTATATTATACAATTTAACTAACTAGAGGCCGATTAACTAAACATGAAAAATACATAGCGCACGATCGAGGAAGATACAGAACATTATTGACAGTTAAATGATACGGTATTACCCAAAAGTAATAAATGTCACATTGTGGTTTAATGGCCCTGTAATTTTGATCATTTAACTGTCGCCGTGCTATACGAGTTATAAAGATACAAGCAGCACAGTGTCAATTGGCGTTTCTTTTTGCTGTGCTTTTTTTTAATTGAAGCACGCCATAATATTGTTCATTAATCTCTCGACACTTTTCCTTTGATAACATCAAAATGTATATATCCAATACTTTGAAGAAACTTCGTCGTAACTTCTTTATGCGAGTCTCTTACTGATTTTTAGGCAAGCTTCCATCAATTCTTTTATGCTGCCATTGTGGCCACGTTCGTAGAATACGCGTTACGTTTTAACAATATTCTTTCCCGCCATTTTGTAAGGTCTCGAAGGACCAGGGCGAGGGCGAGGATGCCCATACACCACGCGTTCTCCTTGCGCCGAGATCGGTAATAACCCAATAAATCAGGGTACCCCAGCCGGTGCAATTACGTTCCGTGGCTGCGAGCCCGGCTCGCAGAACCCAACCCCTCTCGTAAATATTGCCCTCTGCGCACCGACGTAGCATCCTCACAAGGTCCACCGCCGTTTCTTCCTCTCTCGGTTTCCACCTCTTTTTTTTTACGCGGCGGTCTCACGACCCCGGCCACAACGCAAGGGATCGTTCCTCTCGTGTGCATCACGCCGGGGTTGTCGACGATACTCGTGCCTCATCCCCCTCGCGAGCATTTCGCTCGTATTCTTTTATTACCGCCCGCCGTTCTGTTCCCGCGGACACACCATAGCGCAACCATGGGAACCGTCGTGGCGTGGAGTGTTCGAATTCTTTTTGGGGGGTTTAATTGCCACTGTGCGATCTGTTAATTCGCGAGTGTCAGCTTGAGAAAGCGAGCCGAAAAGCGAGAGGGAGGATTTATCTCTCCGCCGTCGACAGCATCGACGTGAAGATTCTAGACGGGAGTGCGTGTTCGCGAAAATATGGGGGTCGAAACGCGATGGACAAGAATGCGTCTGGGACCTCATGAGAGAGCCGTAGAAAAGCAAAATAGCGAGAGAAGTGTGATGACTTTACTGCAAAATATATGTGTGTTAAGTAAAAGGGAATACATTTAAGATTGACGCTTCCCTATGATGTCTCATTTTGTTCAAGATCAAACTGCTCGAATATCGCGCAATGGGATAAATGATTAATAATGCATCAATAATACAATAATAATATATTTATAATATGTTCTTAATCCATTTTTTGCTTCTTTCTGACAACGGCTTTGTCAGATGTGGCGCTGATGAACATTTGCACGATTATTTTTCAGGATGACGAGGAACTATGGGAAGGGGGCCTACTCATGGCGTTTTCCGAAAATTGTCGCCAGCATGCGATGCCGTGCACGCTCCACACATGGCATACGACAGGTATACCATCACGGGAACACAATTCTATCAATTTCGTCATTCTCGAAAGGGGCAGGAGATGCGCGAGTTCGTTACTTTTGACAGCTGGCCTGCCAAAAACCATTACGCCAATAATACATCATCGTCGCGCAACGATCCGTTTTGTTCGAGTATCCATGGCGAAGTATTAAGTAGGCAAGCGATAAAAACGACACGAGGCAAATTACATCGTTTGGTGGCACTGAAATTTTGCACGAAAAAGATGAACAGTCGGGCTAAGTGTCGCGAATGATGCATCCGAAACGGTCTGCGTTACCCGACAATTATTGAGAGAAACGAGCACCGTATGACACGCGATACGAATGACACGACGGTTCCAGCTTGTAGTACATGGTGCGGATCGACATCGACTACCGTGAAACTTGCATAGCCCTTTAGCCTTACGCACGAATTAGCCGCTTTGTTTCACTACGATGGCTTTACTAGACTTGTAGGCTGTACAAGACGATAGAGCGTTATGCATCGTATGCGTTTGTTTGATAATGTCATGACTTTTGCAATCCTGCAGTAATCCTTCTTAGCCAATATCACAAATGGCACGCAATAAGAACGCCGGATGATTGACGAAATGAAAGTGACATTATCGTTTTGATGACAATCGCTTTGTTCTTAAGAATGTCTTCATGATATTTTCTTTACTTTATGAATTTATTATACTAATCTCTGAGATTTTGATATTTATTTACTGATTCAGATCAAAGTTTCTAATCATTATGCCTTCTATTTATTTTGTGTATATCTTGCTGCTGTCATTTGCGACCGCAATTAATCCCCTTTGTTACTGAATAGGTGCAAGTTATATTTTTTTTACCGTTCCGAACGGCCATTGAGAAAGTCGAATAGCAATGGTGCCTTTCTAGAGCGCTTTAGTTCGCCATCGGCATTTTGGAGTTAGGCGATAAATCTCGAGGCGAGTGGGCTTTAGAAGACCTCTCGCTGTGTTAGAAAAAGAAAGTAAAATGCGAAAACGAGGGAATGCGCGCTGCCAATAGATTTACGAGGCCATCCGTCTTCGTAGTACGCACTTGATGCTCACTCTCGCGATAAAAGCGCAGCTCATCTACGCGTGTATGTATGTACATGTGCGTTTGTGCGCACGGCACGTATACACACGTACGTATACGATTCTAGAGGAACGGTTCGTTATTATAACCCACGAGGAGTAATTGTTTCCAAGGAACCGACATGGAGAAGACCTTGCCTGAGAACTCAAAGGTATTAGCAGCCTTTCTACAGGACGTTTCAGCAATAATGCCAGTAGTCACGATCACTTTGCTTAATTCTAATTGTAGTAGTAAATGTAAAGAATTAGGATTTGCGTTGATATTACGATACGAAGTGTCAGTATCATAAGGAGGGTTTGCTGTGGCATCAAGTATAATTATAAAAAGTATAAAATTTATACTTTATTTATACTGGTATGCATTTATAGAAATAAAACTGAAAATTAATGATAAAATTTAGTTACCTCTATACTTTTTTTAAGCTTCAACTCGATTAAGCTCTAAAATTTTGAAAGAAATGCAATAAGAAAGTTGCGCGGACTAAAATGATTGATAAATTGACTACTTAAACTCATTCATCTTTTAGCGCTCGTTTAACTTGTTTAACTTATCAAAGTGTACAGCAAAGTATGTTAACACGAGCAGCAATTTAAATTCGACGAAGTTGTATAGCTGCGATAGCGTAGTTCCAGATAGACGTGATGGCGAGCACTCTGTATTAACATAACAGAGTGGCACGTGAGCCTTAGCGGGGGTTTTGTTGAATTTAAATTTGGAAAGTTGCAAATATGTGACGGCCCTCTGACGGCACTGATATTTCGGTGGGGCCTTGCTTGAAAATGTCGTGATATTAGTTGGCTTCCGCGGGAAGCCCGAATGATAGTGCCGCTAGTCACGACTACCTCGTGGTCGATTGTAATCTAGCGAGCGCGAAGGAAGCCCACGGTTGTATTTTTATCAGTGATCATGCAAAGTTGCCTTTTTTTTTTACAATTGTGCAGCATTGGAAACCTTGCGGCGGCTTATCGATATCGCGACTTCATTCGAACTCCATGTAAGGTAATAACGCCGAAAACAATCGGATGAAATAGGCGATCTGTGAATCGCGATTAAATTAGGAGCACGCCACGCGAACGACGATGTTGACATGGCCGATCGAATTTGTTATCCGTTGAGAATGATAGAGTAAATTACGAAACTCGAGATATAAATCAGTCGCGATTAATTTTATTTACTTTCAGATTTGTCCCGCGCAATGAAGATTAAATGGATCTGTACAAGTCTTGTTAAGACACAGCCGGAAGATTATCCTTGGAAGAGCTTTTTCCGATGGTGTCGGCTGCATAATTAATCGAATAAGATATGCAAATTTGTTCGTAATAATAAACGTCCGACTATTAATTAGTTCCAGATTTATTGCGCAGTTTCCGTCGTAAAAAGATGAAGAAAAATGCAACTATTAATTGCATAACGTTTTATGAATTTGATAAGCATATTATTACGCATTCCCTGAGAGTATGCTATCAACGCGAAGTTTAATGATTTTAATAGACACCAGAAATATTAGTAAAATAATGTTTGTAAAAATAGCTGCGCCCTGCGAGAAAATTTATCCAACGTAATCCAAAACGTAACATGGAAGTGAGTCACGAATCTTTGTAGCATTACTTTATGTTATTTATTATTTTCTCAGACATTTCTAGAAACTGTTATTTTTCTTTTGGCGCAAATTGTATCCCTGCAGATGCAATCTTTTAACGTCTCACGACGTGAGATAAGCGCAAATCCATGACCGCTTATTTACGGGTGAAATTTTTGCGCATTTCGCAATGTTCTCGCGTGTTACGAGAAAATAGCGGAGATACGTGCGTCAGCGGGTGGGGAGGGGGAGGAAAAAAAATGATTTTTTTAGAACGCGAACCCGGAATGGCGCCGGCGGTCCGGTTTAATCTCGACACGCCCATTACACACCGCGTACATATTACATCACGATCGCACTCGATAGCAAGCGTATCTATACGAGCCCTATCCCCCCCGGTGTCTACCTACGATACGTGTAAGCCGCAATTAAAATTCAAGAAAAATTCTCGGAAACCTGTTTCGAGACCGAGCAAAATATTTCGCTGCGGGGTGGTCACGCAGGAACGCCAGTCACGGATGATCTCGTTTAATTGCTCTTAGCCCTTAAATGTTCTCTCTTGAAATTTTTGTCGTCTGTCATGTCCAATGTTCCCCACTGTCTCTCACCGTCGATCAATTATTCCGCGCAAGATTTGAATATTTTTCGACACCCTGTTAGGAGTAATCTTGTCAAAACAACTTTAATTTGCAATATATACCTGACTTTGTCTTTCTCATCGATACAGTCTAGTCAAACAAAAGTTTTATGGTTATAATATAGGAAGGAATTTAATAAATGTTACATATGTTGTACATAATGCATTTTTATAATTTTATAATAATCATTAATAAAGATACATAAAAATAAGATTATTATTCTTGTTTGTTTATGATAGGTCACTTAATAATTCATTTATTAAGATTAATATATATCGTGACTCGATAATAAAGTGACAAATGTAATGAATATTCAGTGAGTATATGTGTAAACCTGCATGTGTAAACCAGTCACGTGTAATTCGCGTAAAGTTAGAAGTATTCCTAGCGTACCGTGTGTTGCGGTTGCAATTTTCACTCGGTGCTAATCATACGATCAGTAATCGATAAGGTCGTCACACCACGCCAGCCAACGTTCCCAGGAAACAATATCACTTATCCTACCATTTTTACACCTCGCTGATAATTTTTTGCCTACTGTATCGGAACGTTTCTACGTCCGCGAGCAAGCCTATCGATTACGCGCGACGTCGGCGAGAGAGAGGAAATTTCTTCGTGGAAGTCATTTTCTAGCGTGAGTATCTTGATACTCGGAAAATATTGCGCAAGTAAAAAAAAAAATGGGCAGCGTGGTGGTACTATACGCCCGCGCGTGTGGGACTACCGCGGTATTGTTGCGATTTCGTGAAATGGCGTGCATGCGGCACGAGAGCGTGATCACGAGAGCCGCGGTCTCGGGGAACCACCATTTTGAAAGATGCTGCATCCTGCAGACCGTGCAGCCCACGCAAACCCACGAAGCCGCCGAAGAAAACTCACACCACCGCAACCACCCACGTCCCGATCCCATTGGTCGAGGCGTCCTCATCCATGGGATACCACACCACCCACGGGCCCAAGACCATTGTCAGATTTGTGCAGGACGTCCGTGAATCTTCAGATGATAGAATGTTACCTCGTTTGCTTAAAAAAAGATTGCATTATTTATTGACACTATATATTATTAATAATAATCTAAAAATCAAAGAATTTGAATCGAATCCTTGTTATACAATTAACGATTTAATTCAAAAACTGCCGATTAATAAGTATCGCTTTGTATTTCAAAATATGTGCGTTTTGTTTTTGATCGAACGTGTATATTATATTATATTTTGATCACGTGAATTGCAAAATTTGAACAGAGAGAAGAGACATAGCCATTGAATGATTTTTTTCGTTAGCTTTGAAAATTTATCTTCTTTGCTTTTATTTTGCTGTCTTAAATACTAGAAGCAAGTACAAAGGCCGTTGTAAACTGTACTGCGGTAAATAGAGTTGTCTAAATTTCACTCAACAAGCTAAGCTAAGCCGCCACTTGGGTCGCAAGTGCGTCGAAAGCCAAGCCGAGAACGGTATATCGAATTGAAGACAAAACACGTTTCGCCGGATGGATAGGAAGGTGAACCCCGGCGAGCCTCAACACGAGAGTTCGCGGCTTCCCCTTCGCTGTTCGGATTACGGTGGGTTAGGCTAGGGCTAGATTATCTCAGTGACGGTAAGTATAGGTTGGATCGGCAGTTCTAGCCATCCCGCGGCCATACCAGGAGCATTGCTTCTCCGAACACGTAAGTCCGCCGCGCTCGCCGAGCGCGCCGAGCCACGCGATAATTCATGGGACTTTATGCGCACCTTGTGTAATGCCAGCTCCGTCGGCTTTTTCTTGGCCTTCGCTGTATCCTGAGAAAAGGGGGAAGGGCAGGGGACCGAGCAAAACCTTCGGATCATTGGCTTCGACTGCTTAAACAAACGTGAGAGTTCAAAAAATTTGAAAAAAACATTGAAAGAACATCCGGAAAATTGGCTTAAGCAAGAAATCATAAATATTAAACGTAAAAAAGAGATCTGTAAGGCTTTACAGATCTCGTTTGCGTAATTGTATTTCCTTTCACTGAATCGTTGAACTATATTCGTTACTAAAGTAGATCTTATGCGTCATGTAAATTAAGTTACTGAGAAATATATAATGAGACGAAGTAATTCTGAATTTGTAGTTTATTTTCTGCAAAATTGAACGTAAGCGTAATTGTATATATTACAATTCTCTTCATCTCTCTAAAAAAAATGTCGATTTCTTCTACATTGAATAATAAGTACAATCAATCTAAAGCTTCTGAAGTGACCATTAAAGTTCATTATCTGGCGCCTCCTCTAATAGCGAGAAATTCCAAACCGCGTAAGATCGATCTGTAATTAAATACTATATAGAAATCCTTATGTAGATCTTATGCGTTAGGTAAACTAAGTTACCGAAAAATAAGTATATAATGATCGAAGTAATTCTGGATTTGTAATTTATTTTCTGAAGTTGAACGTAAGCGTAATTGTATATATTACAATTCTCTTCATCTCTCAAAAAAATTCTTCTACATTGAATAATAAGTTACAATCAATCTCTTCTGAAGTGACCATTAAAGTTCATTATTCGGCGCCTCCTCTAATAGCGAGGCGATTCCAGACCGCGTATAAGATTGAATCTGTAATTAAATCGCGTTTAAATAGCCGCAATTAGCCGGGCGGTAAATTTTTTTTCAAATTAATATTCATGGCAAGTTACCGGAGTGACAATCAGCCGGATAATCTAATCACGGTATAAATATCAACACTTTTTTGTGAAAAGGATCTATTTATCCTATAAAAACGACGACGCCGGATTAAGCAATGAGAAAGGGTTAGAAGAGAACAAGACAAGAAGCAGGGCGGGGGGGAGGGAGGGATTTAAGTACTCGCGCGGACTCTAACATTACTCCGTTGGCTGTGAGATAATTTTTCTTCTTATTACCGACGCGAGCAATATTTCAATTAGTTGTCAATTTAGTTGTCGGCGCCTGACGGACATATGCGTATGCGAGGGTACCGCGGCCGGGAATAATTAACAATAAATTATCCGGGGGAGCTATCATTACGCCGACTAATCGCGGCAAATTGACCGTTATATTATTAAGCAGCCTGTGGACGCTAATTGCGTGCCGCGTGCGAATCGTCTTCGAAAGAGAGAGAAAGACTACGACTCCTGGCGAGAGGGGATTGTCGCGAGCAACTTAGGTGAATAATTGAGAGTCCGTGTATGATCGGGATCGTAGATCATGCAAATTGATCTGAAGCACTCGACGTAGTTAAATTGTTACGAGAAAAGGCGCTGTGATGATAAAAGGATCTCGCGGACTATAAAGACGTTCTAGTATCTGTGATTGATCGTTTGCAACTGTTACTTTTCTTACCATCTTGTCACGGGCACTAAAGAATAATTCATTAATAATTGTCAAATTAATAAACTGCATGATGCTTTGATATGTCCGCTATGAGCACTTTTATTATACTGTTATAATTATAAACTTGTTATTATAAAAATTTAATTATTATAATAATTAAAATAGAAATAATTTTTTGGAATTTTAATACATATTTTTATATCAAATTTTTATTTATTTTAAATAAAATATTAATTTATAAATTCTGTTAATTGTTAATATTATAAAGAAGATTATATAGAAGTAAAATTATAAAATAAAGTTAATATTATAAAGTCATAGATAAAACTTTATTTAAAAATCATTAATTTTTTTATCCAAAAATCTATGGTCTATATAAAAGTGAAAATTAAACAAAATAAAGTCAATTTTGCTAATTTTAAAATTGGTCAATACTTTTCCTGGAACAGTTGAAGAACAAATGTTTCCATTTGATCCGTGCAGAGGCCGCCACATTGCGCGAATGCGGTTGCAATCTGTATGATGCAACACAAGATGGCGTAGTTAGTATCACCAAGTATATAACAAGTCGTTTATTGACCATAAAATTCCATAAAGAAAATAAGCCGCGAATATATCAAAGTATATTTTATCATCCACAAAGATAAAAACATTATGTAAATATAATAGCAAGTATGAGTTAAAATTGATACAAATCCGCAATTGTATGTATTTTAAAATAAAGGAGAAGAATTATATATTTTTTAAATGAAATTCAAATAATGAAAGAGTTTTATGGTACATCAATACATATTTTGCAAAATAAAGCTAAAG